TGAGTGGGAGGAGAAGTGTCTGCGACCGACCCCCCCAGCTCATCCCACCACGTCCAAGGACAGCCACGTGGTCCACGGGCTGGAGTGGGCATGGGAGGCCCGAGGGCACCACCACGGGGCCGCCCCAGCGAACCAGGGACACACTGCTCTCCCAGCCTCGGTCGGACTCGTAGCGACAGCCGCATGCCTTCCCGCTCCCCTCTGTGCACCGCAAGGTCGCTCCCACTGTCCCACTGTCCCCCCTCCATCCCCGAGCAGCTGCCCAGGCGGCCAGGAGCTCCGCCCGCTTCCAGGAGGCTCCCCCTCCTGCCCTGAGGCGCTGGGAATGGAGGTGGTCATGGAAACGAGGGGCTGCTGTCAGTGGAGCTGTCATTAACTTAGCAAGTCATTCCCGACACCCACGAGACTTGCGAACAGCAGAGTAAACGCTGGTGTCCACGTCCGGTGCCTCCTGGTCTCCCGCACACACTGCCACGCGCTGTGTCTCTCTCAGAAGCGCGAACGGGGACACGGCAGAGACCCGCACACCCTCTCCGCGCCGCCCGCCCTGCCAGAGGGTGCCATGAACCCACTCTGCACCCAGCTCCACACACACCCCGACAGACAGCACCCTGCGACTTCTGAAACGCGACATAAATGTCCTTGTGGGGTGACAGGCCCCCATCTCCAGGTGAACTGCGCGCTGGAGAGAGTGGCACCGTCTTCAAACCCCCGAGGCGATGGGCTGGCCCCAGCTGCACGGCCGGAAGCTTCCGAAGTAAGTGTGCACAAGACGACAGCCTGACTGTGAGCAAATGTTTATGATACCAGAACTGCTAACCGGCAAGAAAACCAGAAAAAAGCAGTTATTTAGAGAGAGTGCCACATTTCGTATGTTTTTAAAAAATCGCCCTAGCCCATCTCAGAGGACAGAGCACAGGCCTGCGGACTGAAGGGTCCCGGGCTCGATTCTGGTCATGGGCACATACCTCGGTTGCAGGCTCCTCCCGGGTCCGGGACCTGGTCGGGGTGCCTGCTGGAGGCAACCAGTTGGTGTGTTTCTCTCACATTGATATTTCTCTCTGTCTTTCCCTCTGTCTTCCACTCTCTCTAAAAATCAATGGAAAAATATCCTCGGGTGAGGATTAAAAGAAAAAATCCTCATCCGAGAATACATTTTTATTGATGAGAGAGAGAGAGAGAGAGAGAGAGAGAGAGAGAGAGAGAGAGAGAGAGAAACATCAACCGGTTGCCTCCCATACAGGCCCCAACAGGGGATCAAACCAGGACGATGCTCCAACCCACTGAGCCACTGGCCAGGGCCATTTCATGTCTTGACCCAGCTGTCCGGGCACAGCACCAGCCTCTCTGTTCTGCAGCCTCAAAACATCTCCTCTACCCAACAGCCACCTGTCTGAACATGCCACCCCCCTGAACACGCCGCCTCCCCAACACGCCACCCCCGAACACGCCGCCCCCCAACACGCCGCCCCGCTGAACACGCCGCCTCCCGAACACGCCGCCCCCCCCCCCAACATGCCGCCCCCCTGAACATGTCTTCCTTCAGAGAAGGCTCTTCTGGCTCAACCTCTTCCTCTCCGGTCATAACGGGCCCCACCTGAGAGCCCGTCTCCCTTGTGGTTTCTGTGGCCCTACCTGCTCCACACGTCTGCACACGTCACAACACGTCATGGCAGACCAGCCTCCCTCATCACAGCTCTTTTCTCCACACGGAAACAGCCAGATCTGACACCCTCTCTTGTCCAAGTGCAAACCCAACTGGGCACACAAGCCCAGTCCTGGACCAGCCACCGCCCAGGGCCGTGACATGGGTCTACACTAGACTCTACAGCGTCAGGAAGGATTGGGAGGGAGGGAGGGACACACTTGCTGTCGTCCCCTGGGATGCTGGGCACTGGGCTAACCCGCCGTCCTCACGAAGTCCAGGGCACTTTCCAATTAATTTCGCTCTAACAACTCCTTGTCCAACGGTCAGTGACTAATTTGATCTTCTTCCAGTGACCCGCTGGAATAGCAACGAGAAAGTATGTTCTGTAGGTTTCATTTACGTAGTAACATTTATGCAGCAACGTGCTCTGGTGGTTACCAGGAGTGACTGTTCACCAGGGTCCACGTGCAGAGGCCGTGATCCGTAACATCAGTCACCGCGTGCAGCCGGGGGCAGGGCCGGCACAGCAGAGCGGAGCCACGAGGGGCCACACCGCGCCGGCGACCAGACGTGGCCGACCTCCGCAATGGCTTCCTCGCAGACACACACCCACTCCTGGGAGGCAGTTCTGGCCCCAAACGTCCAATGCCTGTCTGATCAAGCCTCCAGGGCCAACAACCAATGCACAGGAAGGACGGGGAAGGACATGCGAACGGGCACCGGGAGCCGATCTGCAACGCGGGAAACTTACAGGACGCGGCCTCGCTCCTCAGCGAGAGAGAAAGCGGGAGATGGAGCGAACGGATCCCGGACCCCAACCGGTCGGAGTGCGCGCCCGACCCAAACACCTAGAAAAATCCCGCGCAGGAAGGGGAACCCAAACACTGCCTGGGCGTCTGACGACAGGAAGAAATCATTATTAGCTTTTTAGGTGCGATAGCGACACTGTGGTTAGGTTTTAAGAAAAGAATCTTTATCTTTCATTGAAGTCTTTACAGGCAGGGCAATCCGACATTTGTGATTTGCTTCCAAATAACTGAGGGCGGAACAAAGATGAGGGGGGCAAAGATAAACCGAGTTTGGCCTGAACAGGGCAGTTGCTGCAGCCGGGGCGGGGTGTGTGTGTGTATGTATGTCTGTCTGTGTGTGTATGTGTGGGGTGTGTGTATGTGTATGTGTATATGTCTCTGTGTATGTATGTGTGTGTGTGGTGTGTGTGTATGTCTGTGTGTATGTCTGTGTGTGGAGGATGTGTGTGTGTGGCTGTGTGTGGGGGGGTGTATGTATGTCTGTGTGTATGTGTGTGTGTGTGTGTGGTGTATGTATGTGTGCGTATGTGTGTGGAGGGGGGTGTGTGTGCGTGTGGCTGTGTGTGTGTGTGTGGCCGTGTGTGTGTATGTATATGTGTGTGTGGGGGGGTGTGCGTGTGGCCCCGCAATGCAAACAAAACAGCCCAAGTCTCATGTGACCGCAGCCCACTGGGCCCAAGAGCAGTGAACACAGTTCCCAGACAGTCAGGACTCCACCCCGCGGTGAAGACGTTCATGACGTCAGACATTCACAGCAAAGCTGCGCGCCAGGCCGGAGGGGCCACGCGTGGACAGTCCTGAACCTCCCGTTCCAGGGAGAAAATGTCCACCTCAGCGGCCCTGCGTTCACGTCGCGAACACTCCCTGATGGCCCTCCACGCACAGGCCTGGCCTCAACTCGGAAGACAAGTCTCCGACCACCACAGTACAAGCGCCACTGGGGGTAGGTTTCCTGGGAGAGGAGAGGAGGCTCAGACGTGGGCGCACTTGCCAACAGGCGCTGACACTTAGAAGCAAACAGCCCTTCCCAGGAGGCAGCACAGGCACCCCCTTCATGGCCCTCCTTCTCCAGGCTCCTGCTCTGGTCCATTTCCCACCCTGCCTACAGGATCGCCGGCAAGCAGCCCGCCACAGGCCGGAGGGGTGTGGGCCCGGCGACCCCCCCGCCCAAGGGCCCTGGGATGCGCCCCCTGAGAAGCCAGGCTCCTGGGGTGCAGCCTGCAGAGTACGGTGCACACCTAGCCCACCTCACAGACACGGACGTGGTCGTGCCTGCCTCCCCTGGCTGCAATGTCCTCCCGAGTTAGAGGAAACCCGGTGCCTTTCAGACGCGGCGAGGCCCGGGCGAGGTGTGCGCCTACCCCACCGCCAGGCAGGTACCTGGAAACAGGACCGCTGGGTACCGGCCCTCACGGAGCCTGAGTCACAGCAAGTGCCGGAGCAGCCACAGGCCTCCAGGAGCCGCAGGGGAGGGCGGAGCACTGCTTACCTGGCCTTCCCACAGGCGTGGCTGCCCCGAAATGCATTTAATGGCTCGGGATGGGGCAGGCCTGCGGTTCCCGGAGAGATAGGCCGGGAGTGATTACCAGCACGGGCGGAACAAGGCCAACCATTCACCCGGCCCTGGCTTTCCGAAACGCATGCCTTTCGTGTTTGCAAAATGCAGTGAGTCACTGTTGATGTTGCCACCTGCAGATTATTCAACAGCATATTTACAAGCAAACAAGCCCAGCCCCTGGGAAGGAGACGTTTCCCGCGTGGGTCTGGCTCTGGAAATTACCAGCAAAAAGTCCCCCAACGAAGGAACGCGGGGCTGGTAAAGGAGCGATCGCCGCCAGACCCCGGGAACGAAGCAACAGGAGGAAGGCTAGCGCCGCGGAGTGAAAGGCAGTGACTCCGCCCGAAAAAGAAAGTGCCGAAGAGGAAATGAGTAGCCAGTTAAATGGCTTTCCCCGATCTCGGGAGGGCAGGCTCCCGGCGGCAGAGACGCGCGCGTGGGAACCGGAAGCGGGGGAAGCGCGCGAGGAGCGGGAGGAACACCGGGATGTGGCCAAAGCTCGCGCCCCGCGCCCCGGGACTCCCTTCCCGCCGGCCCCTCGCTGAGCGCCGGGTACCCCTGGTCTATCCTGTCCGGGGAGCGTCCGGATCCGCATCTCCACGAACCCTCAGTGGCACCCCCGGTCCTGTCCCTCCGCCCTCCCTCGGATGGGGCGGCCCCTCCCGCCCAAGTCGCTGCGGGTGCCGACCTGGTCCCTCCTGCGGGGGGCTCGGGCCTGGGGTGCGGGGAGGACCCGCACCTCCCCCAGCGACACCACCGGGCTTCCCGATCGGGGTGGGAACAGGGGCGACGGCCGGGATCCACGGCAGGCGGAGTGACCCTCGGGGCCAGAGGCCAGGCCGGGTGGGGTCAGGAGTGACCCGTGTCCAGGCTGGGCAGGGACCGGGCCGCGACCGGGGGTGACCCCTGGGCCCGGACGGGGCGGGGTGCGGGCGTTGCCAGGCGGGGCCGCCGGGGCCGGGCCGGGCCGGGGTCGCGCACTCACTGCTTGGGCAGCTGCAGGGCGGGCGCGCCGCGCCGCTGGAAGGCCCCGTCCACGAAGACGCCGTTCTTGCCGAGGCAGCGCAGGTAGAAGTGGGGCTCCTGGAAGGTGAGCTGCAGGTGGCGCCGCGAGATGAAGCTCGACAGGCCCATGCTCACGTCCACCGAGCCCTGCGACGAGTTGCGGCCGATGGTGACGCTGGGCTGCCGCATGAGGAACTCGAACTCGCGGCCCTCGAGGCGCGCCAGCACCGGCCCCGGGCTCCGACGCACCGAGTCGGCCGCCGCGGCCACCAGGGCCTCGCCCGGCGCGCCCGCGCCCCCCGCGCCCCCCGCGATCGCGCCCGGCGGCGGCGGCGGCGGCGGGGGCTGGGCGGGTGGCGGCGGCGACGGGGCGGCCGGCCCGGGGGCGGCGGGGGCGGCGGGGGCCGCGGCGGCCGGGAAGGCGGCGGCGGCGGCGGCGCACAGCACGGGGCTGCAGGGCGCCGAGCGCAGCGCCAGCAGGGCGCGGGCCCCGCTGTCCTCGCCGACTTCGGCCATGTTCGCGCAGCTCCGAGCGGCCTCCGGCGGCGGCGCGGCGGCGGGGGGCGGGGCTCCGCGAGGCGGCGGCGGGCGCGGAATCCCGGGCTGGATCGCGCCGCCGCGGAGCGGAGCGACCGGCCGCGCGCCCCGCCCGTCCCGTCCGCCAGGGCTCGCGGGGGCTCGCGGGGACCCGGAGGGGCGCTGTCTGCGCGCGGCCACTGCGCCTGCCCCAGGGCTACCCCCTCGCCCACTGCCCCTGGCTGTAGGCGGCCCGTTCCTCCGTCCTGGGGTCGGGGGGAGGGAAACCCGCCCGCCCCCCAAATGTCTAACTGGAAAGTTTGGGTCCTGGAACCAGTGGCCTCAGCCGTTTCCTGGGCCGGAACCACCCCGTCCTGCGCCCTAAAGGGGGGACGGGCAGCGGCGCCCACGTGAGGGTGTCCCGCTGTAGATCACGGTGGCCTAAGGGTGCCTGCGACCCCCGGGGCCCCGTGTTCCTTTCTGGAGCCACCCCTTTACCAACCACCAGCTCCATCGAGTATCCCGGGGGCGCGCAGGACGCCTGGGTCGGCGAGGCAAACCCCTCACAGTGCAGACACCCGAGAGACGGGAGCTGCCAACACGGAACTGGCCAGTGTGGGCATCGCCCGGTACCTGCGTGCTCCCAGGCCCCTCTGGCCTAACTCAGCAGAAGGGGAGAGATTTCTGCCCAAAATACCGGCCTCCGTAGTTCTTTTCCCCAGGAGCACCCAGGCGCTCACAGGGCTGACACCCACGGGACCATTGGCCAGTCCTTTCTCCCAAGCAGCCATCCGGGTGACAGTGGCAACTCCAAAAGAGAGGGCAGGGAGGGAGCAAAAACAGGCAGTAAAGAGCGAGGGCCCGAGAAACGGAGTCCTCCCGCTGTGCACCGCGACAGGCTGTCCTGGGAGATGCCACGAAGGCCCGTGCAAAAGGGGCGGGGAGCCGCCTGGAGAAACCGTCCATGAAAAAAGCTGTGTGCAGATCCTTCACCAGAGACACACGTGACAGACAAGCGCATGGAAAGCATCCCAGCGTCACTAATGGTCAGGGGGCGGGCTGGAGGCTCCGAGTGACCCTCGGGTGCTGGAAGGTGGTCCCACCGTCTTGGAAACATCTGAGCAACTTCTTACGAAGTACAACTGACTTACCATGTGACCTGCAGTCCTATCACTAGGTGTTTTCCCAACTGAACTGAAAAGTGTGTCAACACAAAGCCCTGTACACAGATGCTTGCAGCGGGTTTATTTATGTATCACCCAAAACTGGAAACAACCTGACCATCCACATGTGCCTCGGCTGAGGAATGGAGAGCAGACTCCGGCACAACCACAGGGTGGAATACTACGCAGCCAGGAAAAGGGGTGAGATACCCACACACAGCATCACACATGGGTGACCCCAAATGCTTTCACTTGTGGGACATCCTAGAAAAAGCCAAACGACAGAGACAGAAACAGGTGAGTGGATTGCCAGGGCTGGGGGTCTGGGGAGGGAGGGGCTGGCCACATGACACGGGGGGAATATTTTTGGAGGGTGACCGTGGTGGTGCCTATGGGAGTCCCCGTACTTGTCAAGAGCAGTAGAAGTGTTCGCGAACAGCAGTGAATTTTGCTCTCTGTAAATCAACCTTCATTTAAAAGTTTTTAAAAAATCTCTAGCTTGTGCTAGACCCAAAACAAGTATTAAGAACCGTGGGGCACGACTCAGAGGCCACCGGCTACATTTCTACTCTAGTTAAAAGGGGACAAAGTTAGACCCTGTTCCCCAGCGGCGTGAGCCACCTTTTGGTGCTGGGTCTGCAGCCCGTGTGGCCACCTCTGCCTCTCCTCCCTCATCTGCCCGAGTCACGGAGTCACGCCGGGCAGCCAGGGCCACCAAGAAGCGCTGCCCGGGTCACCCCTGCGGGGAGCCCGAGGGCCGCGCCTGGACGCTCATTCCCGGTGGGGACGTGCAAGGCGGCGGGGAGAGCCCAGCGGACAGGATCCTCCTGGAAACCCGCAGCCCCGGTCCTGGCTGAGTGTGGGGGCCCAGGAGGGGAGCCCCATACCTGAGAGCCTCTGGTCCACGCACACGGGCGTCCACGCACAGAGCGCCGTGAGGGCCTAGAGCTCAGAAATTCAGGGTGTCCCCAAGAATGCATGCCCACATGCTGAGTAACTGTACTGGCGGTGTCCATGAAAATCGACCTCATTTTCAAAACTGAGCCCCCAGCTGTCACAGTATATGCACATTTTGGGGGACGCCCTGTATTTGACCAACGAGCTTCCTTTTCCTGTCACAGCGTCACTTCCTGCTGCTGCTGCTGCTGCCTCCTCGGGTCCTTCCTGTGTCCCCTCCCTGCTGGGTCCCCAGGGTTCCACACGGCACAGGGACGGGACCGGGGCCATTCCCGAGAGGCCTGCATGTCGCCGCTGCGAAGGACAGGCAGGCGGGCAGGCAGGATGATCCTGCAGAAGCACTTCCTGACCCTTCGAGACCCCAGGCACCTGGGAGGGGTGGACCCTGGGCCTGGGCCCCGGGACAGGCGGCTTGTTCTTCCTTCCCAGCCTCCGGCCTCTGCCATCAGAGCTCCATGCGTGCTCAGTGCCACACCAGAGAAGTCTTCGCTGCCACGGAAACCTGTCGCCGCCGAGCGTGGAGCGGGTGGGGGCTGCCCCGGGCAGAGTGATCCACCAACAAAGCGTGGCCCAGTGGTTGAGCGTGAACCCAAGAACCAGGAGGTCGTGGTTCGATTCCCGGTCAGGGCACAGGCCCAGGTTTCAGGCTCCATCCCCAGTAGGGGGCGTGCAGGAAGCAGCCAATCCATGATTCTCTCCCATCATTGACGTTTCTCTCTCTCCCTCTCCCTCTTTGAAATCAATTAAAACATTTTAAAAATTACTATTTTTAAAAGACGGCCCGGCCCGTGTTACTCTGTTGCTGGCGACGGAGCGGCTTCGGGCAGCCGGTGCGCAGCGTGAGACGGCGCCTCAGGGTGACAGCTGGTGCTTCTGGCTCCGGGTCTCTTGTGAGGTCACGCCAAGATGTTGGCGGGGCTGTGTCTTCTGGAAGGTTCTCTGAGCCCGGAGGGCCCGTCAAAACAGAATGCGGTGCAGTGGAAGGGGCCCAGCCAGCTGCACGGTTCCCAGCGGTGCTGCCGGGACAGGCGATGTGGCCTCGCTGGGCCTGTTGTCTTGGCTGCAAACCGGCTGCGGGCTGATGGGGCTCAGAAGAGACGATGGGGCCTTGGACACAGCTCACTCACGTCCTCGCTAGAGGCAGAGTTTTGTGAGAACAGCCGTGGGGTAAGGAACGCAGGACCGTGGCCCGAGGCCCTCCACGGAACCCACAGGCTGCTCAGCCGGCGGGCGGCTGGCACAGGGCAGGCGCTGGACGCGTTGCAGGAAGCTGCTCCCTCCCTGGCGGAGGCCGGGGGACTGTTTCTCTGGTCTTTACCCTGAAAACCTGGGGGGACACCTGGGGGTGGAACACAGATTGTCGGGCCCTCCCCCCATTCGTCCTCGCGGCCTCCAGACCCCGCCCCCTGAGTGTCTGAGACTACGAGGGGACTGTCCTGGCCCAGCAGCTGTTCCTGTCCTCAGGGTGGCACTTCGTGTGCATGGCGCAGCCTCGGCCTCCTGTGCGCCCTGCTCCTTCCAGCCAGCACTTGGCCTGTGGGGGTGTCACGGCCGAGGTCGCCGGGCCTGTAGCTGCACCAGCCCGAGGGGGAGGCGCACACCACCCCGAGCTGCGCTGCCTCCGCCACGGGACGGACACTGGCCCCCTACGCGGGGATGTGCGGGCATGAGGCTCAGGTTGCAGAAGGCTGCCCACAGATCCAGCCGAAAACCCCCCCACCCCGAATCATCAGCCCCAGCGTTCCCCTCGTGCCCTCTCCCCACGAGGCTGGGGTCTCCGGGAGAGAGCAGCGGTGGGCTTAGTGGGGGCTCTGCCCAGGCCACGGCCCAGGTTTGCGGCCAGGAAGCCGCTGCAGAGGCCTGGCTGTGGCGGCTGCCGTCGCGGGTGGGAGGGAGCCGGGCAGGCTGAACAGGAGAGGCCGTGGCCTCGGTCCAGCCGGATCCCTGCGGGCACCAGTGAGGACCCCAGTTCAGCCTTTTCAGGCTTCACATCACGGAGAGCGTGGAAACGTGCCGGGAGCCGGTCCATCCTTGTAGTTCAAGGGACCTGGCATATATGGCATACTGTTCTTAATATGTTTGCTCACCTTCTTGGCACTATGTGTTTTAACCAAGGTCTCTGAGAAAGGTTGTTTCCCCAGGTAGGGATTTTCCCCTGAAGTTAGGGAGGGAATAAAACTCCTCAACTAAGTGCCAGGCGGGTAATTAATCACTTTAACTACGAACAATCATGCTTAAGCTACATAATCTTTACTCCCTGGAATGAAGATAAGAAACGCCCTAACCTTTGTAATAGAGATTGATAGGATTGAATCAACTGGTATAAATACAGATGCAACAAGACAGCAAGACTCAGAACTTAGAACACAGAACTCAGAACACAGAACTAAGGAGACAGAACCTACACGGAACCTAGAGACAGAAGAACTTCGCTGGAGAGAACATGGCAAAAGATCCTGGGCAGAAACTGGCCTCAGAACCTAGAGACAGAACCTAGCGAGAGAACATGGCAAAAGATCCTGGACTGAACCTGACTACAGAAATTGGCAAGAGAACCTGACTAGAACCTGGTGACTGAACTTGGCTGGAGAACCTGGACAGAACCTGGCTGGAGATCCTAAGCAGAACTTCGCTGGAGATCCAGACCAGAACTTGGCTGGAGATCCTGGCTAGAGATCCTGGCTAGGCTGCTGATCAACTGAACACTGTCTCCGTGTCCTTCCTTCTTCGCCGACTCCGTCTACGCCTTTGGGAACCCCTGGACCTGCTGGGGTTGGACCCCGGCAGAAACATACACGAGAGGAGACAGAATGAAAAGCAGCCTCCTGTGCCCACCAGCCCGCTGGAGCGATGGCCGTGTGGTCAGGGTCATGCATCTTGGAGCCGCCCGGGTCCCCGTGGAGCGC